GGGGGGGGGGGGAGCCTCGCTGCGTGGAAACGGCCCGCTGAACGGACCTCTGTCGCCTGTCAGCTCAACTTAAATGATGCCGTTTAAAAACATAAAAAATAAAGGGCGGTGCCGGCCGTCAACGGCCCGCTGACGACGGGCCGTTCTGTGATTTTCCAGAACACACAGATGGCCAGTCCGCCCCTGGCTGGAGGTGAAAGGAATGAGCCCTTTTACAGCCTTTTTGGAGAGGTGGGGGAACTCCGTCTCCACAGACAGCCAAAAGTGTGCAAGTGACACTTTACTCGTCTTTCTCTCGTTATTTTTTTCTCACACTGCGCTAGGGCTGCTCGATTATGGCAAAAATTGTTTGCAAAAAACTGTATGTTTTTAACAGTTGATTACCCTGAACTTTAAGTATAATTCAACTGAAAAACCAAAACAAACAAAAACTATTTAAAAAAAAAAAAGTAATAATAAAAAAATAATCTTTTTATTTCGATTACGTTGTTTTCGTAATCGTTGCAAGCCGTAATCGCGATTAAAATATGATTAATTAAGCAGCCCTACGCTGTGCCTCCCCTGAAGGTCTCTGGCGCCCCCCCAGGGAGGCGAGCCTCACACTTTGAAAACCGCTGACATAGAGTAAATCATTGCATACATAACATAACAAAGCTAGGGTCATTTAGTGGACAAATATAACAAATACAGATCAGAATGGCATGTTTGAGTCCGTAAAGTAGGGACTGTAGAGAAATGTCATATTTGTCTGATTTGACTTTGTTTTCTACTTAACTGTTTTGTTTGGAGTCATTTTGTTTTTGTTGTGTTCTCCCAAAATTCTTTGTGTAAATATTAAAAGACTGAAATGTCAGTTTAATCCAACGGTAGTCAACCACACTATTGCTTTGGAGATTGAGAGCTCATTGCTTTTTTCGTTTAGGACATACAGAGGATGCTGTGGCCTCAGAGGAGCGACTGTGCTCACGAGTACCCGAGTGTTCCCCCCGCTCACCTGCTGCCAACCTTCTACCTTCCCCCTGAAACACAGGGCCTCAGGTCAGTGCACATCCCACGATTGTGCTGGTTGAATTTTTCCTTAATCATATTCAAAATGGCAGCACACACCAAATCCAGTTATACTGAAAAGAATCACCATGTGCGTATTTTAGAGTTTTTTTTATCAAAACATTGCACTTAAAAATGTTTGTTTATACACAGCCCAGTGGCAACTCTCCTCTATGGGAGCAGTCCTCCTCTGACGGTAGCTCTGCCAAACTGTGGTCCCGTTCCCCAACCATACCCAGCCCTCCTGCCTGCTTCAATAGACTGGCCTCTGGAAGAAAAGAAGCTCCCAGATCCCTCTGCCTCCCAGGTGTGTGTGTGTGTGTGTGTGTGTGTGTGTGTGTGTTTCCCTTTCCTCGGCCCCGTTTTTTTTCTTTTTTTTTTTTTTTTCCTTTGGCGATTGTATCCCTCTGCAGCATTGTGCAATTAGACGTTGATTGAGGGTTGGGTTCTTCAACAGCTCTTGCGGAAGGAAATGAAAACAAGTATTGGAAGCGCGATAAGAGACCTCGGTTAGACGAAGGTCGCAGTAGGAGGTGATGCATTGGACGTCCTTAGACATTTGTGTGTTATCACTGTAATTACCTAAGCCTATAAAGAAGACTTCCTCAGGTGTACGGTATGTTGTTGTAGTTTTATGTTCTCATCCCCATATCCTCAAGACGATTCGGGATGACGTGTACCATACTTAGGCTAGAGGCGCAAGAGTATAAGTCTGGCTTAGTGTTGTGTGTGTGTGTGTGTGTTTGGTGTGTGTTGTTTGTGTGTGCTGGTGTGTGTGTGGTGTGTTGTGTGTGTTGTGTGTGTGTGTGTGTGTGTGTGTGGTGTTGTGTTTGGTGTGTGTGTGTGTGTGTGTGTGTGTGGTGTGTGTTTGTGTTGTGTGTTGTGTGTGTGTGTGGTGTGTGTGTGTGGTTGTGTGTGTGTGTGTGTGTGTTGTGTGGTGT